TGTCTGCGCCTTGTTACTGCGGGACTGTGTGTTGTTCGGGTGTCTGCACCTTGTTGCTGCGGGACTGTGTGTTGTTCGGGTGCCTGTGCCTTGTTGCTGCGGGACTTTGTGTTGTTCGGGTGCATCGGCGTGGCTGCCCTTGTTACCTGCGGGTCTGGCTGTTCGTTTTGGGGTGCCCTGTGCCTTTTGCTGCGGCGGACTCATTGTGATGTCGCGTGCCTGCGCCTTGTTGCTCCGCGGACTGTGGTGGTTGTTTCCGGGTGTTGCCGCTTGGGTACGTTGCGGAACCTGGTGTGTGTTCGGTGTGCTGCACCCTTGTGCTGCGGGGACGTGGTTGCGGCGTGTCTGAGCCTTGTTGCTGGCGGACTTCGTGTGTTGTTCGTGCGTGTCCCTGCGCCTTGTACTGGGGACTGTGTGTTGTTCGGTGGTCTGCGCTGTAACTGCCCGCGGGACTGTGTTTGTTCGGCATGGTGTCTCGCCACCGCTGTTGCTGCAGGTACTGTGTGTTGTTCGGGTGTCTGAGCCTGTTGCTGCGGACTGTGTGGTGTCGGTGTCTTGCCGCCTTTACTGCTGGACCTGTGTTTTCGGGGTGTTTGCGCCTTTGTTACTCAGCGAGACTCGTGTGTGGGGTGTCTGCACTTGTTACCTCGTGGTACTTGTGTTGTGTAGTGCGTTCTGTGTCTTGTTACCTTGGACTTTGTGTTGTTGGGTGCTGCCCTCTATTCTCGTTACTACGCGGACTGTGTGGTGTTTCAGTTGTCGCCCCTGTTAGCCCGCTGGCGGATGTGTGGGCTTGTTTGCGGTGTCTGTGCCTGCATTACTGCGGACCTGTGTGGGTGTTCAGGATCCCCTTGCCCACACGGGTCCATGGTAAGGCGAGCTCCTGCTCGCCAGGGTCTGGCAAAGTCCAGATATGTGAGTGGAACAGAAAATCGAACACGGCTTCCCCTCTTCCCTTGGCTCCTGTCCTCGGGCTGGCAATGCCGATGGTCAGATCTGCAGAGCGCTGCGTGTGGGCTAGAGGCAATTCAGAAATGGAATAAAGGGGCCTTACCGCCCACAAAAGCCAGACCTGCCTTTACCAGACCATCCACCGCGCAAGCATTCCGCTGGTCGCTGCCTATCGATCGCCACACGCCAATATTGGACACTGGAGACGATAGCAGCGTTCCTTTCACCGATGATATACAACGAATCATACGCTTCGAGTATCCC